TACTAACTTGGCCTTCACCACTTTTGCACCATATCCACTTGACCACCGGCTAAAGTGAGATACGTGCGTTCGACAGGGATCTTGTCACCTTCGACGCGTTAAAATATATTTTAATAGGCAAGCTTTTGGAAAAGAGTCTACTTCTAGAACGTTTCGAATAAGACCTGTACGGAGGTGCAGAGGGAACACATTAAAAAAACGCTAAAATTATTGGACTGACCCCAAGGGTAAAGGGGGTAAATCAAAATAAAACCGATTAAAACTATATTGTTTATTACATATAAACCTTTAAATGAATAGGGTAAGTTTATAGCCATGATATATATAAATAATAAGTTTTTAATTGCATAAAATTTAATAATAAAAAAACTTTTTTATAAACATTTATTATAAATAAATATTTAAATAACACGTGTTAAAATTACGTACTCCCCTCCCTCCCCTCCCTCCCCTCCTCCCCTCCTCCCCTCCCTCCCCTCCCTCCCCTCCCTCCCCTCCCCCTCCCTCCCTCCCTCCCCTCCTCCCCTCCCTCCCCTCCCTCCCCCTCCTCCCCCTCCTCCCCCTCTCCCCCTCCTCCCCCTCCTTCCCGTTTTCCCCTTTCTTCCTTTCTCCGTTTCTTCCTTCTTTTCTTCCTTTTTTCTCCTCCTTTTTTCCTTTCCCCTCCCCTCCCCCCCGTTTCTCTTCTTCTCTTCTTTTCCTTTCTTCCCCTCCCTTCTTCCTTTTCCCTTTCCTTTCCCCTCCCCTTTCTTCTTTCTCTTCCCTCCCTCCCTCCCTCCTTTTCCTCCCTCCCTTCTTCTCCCCCTTCCTCCCCCCTCCCCCCCCTCCTTCCTCCCTCTTCCGTCCCTCCTTCCTCCCCGCCCCCTTCCCCCCGTTTCTCTTCTCGTCTTCTTTTCCTTTCTTCCCCTGCTTTCTTCCTTTTCTCCCTCCTCCCTTTTCTTTTTCCCCCTCCCTCCCCTCCCTATCTCTCCTCTCCCCCCTTTCCTCTTTTTCACCCCCCCCTTCTCTCCCTACTTTTCTTATCTCCTTTCTTATCCCCCCGTTTTTTATCGTTTTTCATTAGTTATATCATATATTCGCTTATCGAATTTTAAAAAAAATGGTTATACGTGGGGGTGGGTATAATGACAAATTTTGGGTTTTTTTAATGTGTTCCCTCTGCACCTCCGTAGACCTGCTAGGATCATCTCGAATCAACCGCAAGCCGTTGTGTTATATCCGGAAGAGAAGAGACTATAACCGAGTTAAAAGATGGCTACTGTAGAGAAACCGTTTCGTATCGTAATTGTCGGAGCCGGACTCGTGGTCTTACTGCAGCACATATATTATCCAAAACGGATATCGACTTTGTTATACTTGAACGACATGAGAATTTAACACCCGAACTTGGCTCTCTCCTAAGCTTGTGGCCGCCGACATTTCGCATTTTTGACCAATTAGATCTACAAGATAAATTGGAGCCTGTTCTTAACCCTATCGACAATGGAGTCACCATGTCTGCCGACGACGGGTCCATATTCACATCGTGGAACCCCGGAGAGTTGATCAAAAAAAGTACGTCAATCCAAAACCAAGGTAATGAGTATGGAACCAAGCTTATAGTTATCGTGATCTAGCCACGGGTACGGATTAAAGGTTACTCATCGCCCGCTCTTCATTGAAGCCTTATATCAAAGCCTGCCTGACAGTGCGAAAGCACGAATCAAGGTCAAGAAGCACGTCTTCAAAGTAAACGTGTCAGATGATGGAGTGGTCGTCGAGTGTACCGATGGTACCGTGGAAAGGGGCTCCATTGTGATAGGTTTAGACGGCGTTCACAGTAGAGTTCGCCAATGCATGCAGGCGATGGAGGAGGGTAGGGCAGCTCCGAGCATATCGGAAACCCCTAAGAGTCCCTACGTCACCACATACAGGATGGTCTTTGGAAGTATACCTATTCCTCCGACATTACCAAATAATGTCAATCACGAATGCGCGTCAGGACGTGTATCAACTCAGCTCAGCTTCTCACTGGTAACTCTCTAGCATGGTTCGGCGTGTATGAAGCGCTTGATAAACCTACGTCAGAACGCATCAAATATACCGAAAAGGATAAGGAGGAGGCCATACAGAGATGGGGACATCTGTACACCGCTCCCGGCATGAGAGTGCGCGACGTTTTCGGCCTACAGGATGGAAACTTTGGTATGATCAACCTGGAGGAGGGTCGTGTAGACAAATGGTATTGGAATCGTATCGTCCTCGCAAGTGATGCTATTCGGAAACTAGAGCCTCACGCCGGATTAGGATATAATAGCGGTTTGGCCGATGTAGTTGTCCTCGTGAATAAGCTCCGACGCTTACTCGAGACTACTCGGTCACCGGATACGAAAGCCTTAGAAGCGGTATTCGCCGACTACCAGGAGGAGCGGAAAAAGGATGAGCCAATAGTTCATGACATGTCCATGCGTCGTGCTCGAGCTTACGCGTGGCTCAGCCCAATGGATAAGATCATGACTAAATACATCATCCCTTACACTAGCTTCGGAGTATACAGCACAAACCGCATATATGGGCCAGTCGTCTCCCGTGCCCCTGTCCTGGATTGGCTGGAAGAGAAGTCTGATACCAAAAACTTGAAAATACCTTACGCCCACCATCCTATTGTCAAGGGGAAGAAGTCAAAGAATGCGTTATCAAGGAACCATAGCTACTACAATCCATCAGCCTATATCGGAGTGGTCATTGCGGCTGCTCTTACTGGAGTGGGACTCCAGTATTACCATAGGATCTTGACAATGATAAGTCCCAAGGCGACCTAGAAATGAGAAGATATAGAGCCTTTTTCTTTCTTATTTCATACGTAATATATGGAAGAGGACGGGTGTAGTGACTGCAGACGGTTCTACTCCAAGATATGTCCTTAACATTAATGCATTAGTTATATTAGATATTAGAAAGGGTGGACTTAGAAGAATGAAAGATATGATCTTGCGATCGGGATTTTACCTGGCATGATTTAGGACTCCTTCTCAAGTCGCATTATAGGTACACGGGCGTCGAAATAATGCGCCCATAACGATCAGAGTAAACGTAGGGACTCGAGCTTGCTAATCCAACGAACCTAGAATCTAGTAAGTACCTCCTGTATAAATCTGCAAAGTCCTCTAGACGGACGACTCTTACACGGTCCTATTATCAGTCTCACGATCGAACCCTCCTCTCCATACCAAGATATCCTCCATATCCAGGCCCTGCTTCGATTTAGGCTTACCCTGTGCAAGACGTAGCTTTTCGAAATATACCTCATATGCGGTATAGAATACAGTGCTCTTAGTTCCTGTTTTAGCACCGTAGCCACGACGGAAGTCGTTAAGTTGTTTGGACTGGATGCACTTAACCGTGGGCGCATTGAGCTGTGCATACAGATCACGACATAATTATGACTGTGTTACTCTCGGGGTTTCCCAGATGCGCATTGATCTTCCGTCGAATCTCGTCGCATGAGTCTATCTCCTCATCGTCCAAGCAGATGTGCTTAATGTCCGAGAATAGAGCCGCCATTGATGACACCTTGGGACGCTACTTGCATATGCTTGAACTCGTAGAATTGGCCTTTTGCGTTTACTTCTTGTTCGTATTCGGCATCGCTGACTTCGCTGACTTCGCTGTTTGGCGTTGCTTTAGCCATGTCTAAGTGTTGTGATATGCGAAACTATTCTGGCCATTTTTTGGGCTCGGTTTATCTCAGAAAAGTACCTAATTCAGGGTATTTGTACTGCACTCAATAACTTGAGAAAATTCGATCTTGTTCATTATATTGACCTCGAGTAACTTTCCGATCCAATTACGCACAATGTCGTAACTAAGCATCATCTCGTCTTCGAAATATCAGAACCAACGATGGCGTCTAGGTTACGATTGAGAGCTGCGAGTTCCTCTTCGAATGACATACCCGCCTTGCGCTTCTTACTCAATGATTCATTTCTTGTCATAATACCCTTCGTATTCGTAAGCTTAACTTTCTCTGATGCAGTCCTCGGTCGCACAGCTGCAGCCTGTACACTTCTGGCTTTTGGTTTTCCATTTCTTCGTGGTCTATATTGTAAAAAAAAAAAAAAAAAAAAAAATTCATTTGTTAGTAGTGGGACACGCGTTGTATTCTAGAAGAGGCGTTTGGACCAGCGTAGCGGGCATAGGGCCTATTTACGCCTGGAGTTCCGTGCGCTAATGACGATCAGCTTTCTAGATACTATACGGATGCAATTTGAATAGCATCACTTAAAATCTAGCAAATGTGAAATATATTCAAATATAGGTAATTATAAAATAGAATTGTAGCCTTTTTTTAGCCATCGAAATAGAAACCAATTCGTTTTCTCCCCCGGGTACCTTTACCACTCCCTTTTCATTGTCCTTTCAAGCACAACACTTGAATTTTCAAATAAATAAATTTCACAAATTTAACCCAGAAGGAATCTCTAACAATCTTTAACCAAAGACATTTCAAGGAGTTAAGGGAAGGGAAGAAGATAACGACATACTCTTGTGACGAATATCTAGAAAACAGTCTAAGAAACCTAAGTTGCCCTAATCTTCATTTACGGATATGAAGTACAAAAGGATATGAGCTTTCTTTATAATACTATTTAAGAATAGATTAATCGCCTCAAGTCATTTGAGGTAAAGATAGAATAATTATGAAGATGGATCTTTCCCGGCTCTCGGGTATATCGTTTACCATTGCCTATCTCCATACATCCTTTCCCCATAGTTAGAAGAACATAAAACTACAGGCACTTCTTGGAACATATTAAGTAATAGGGTTCGTTAAATTTAAGTTGAGTCTTAATCGAGGTGACGAAAGTGGCAACGACTTCTACTAGGTGCTAATCGTCTGGTTTCTAGACTTGATGGGCGGATGATGATCTTCCAGCTCTGTGGAATTGCCGAAACAACCCCACACAAAATTCATATGGCTATTCTCTTCGAGTACGACAGTATCATCTTCTTTGCCGGTTTTGACATCATGTAATAATTCATATTTAGGAGGAGCTACCCCGACTCGCCCCAGATGTAAGAATGGCAGTTATCTCAAGTTTCCCTTCCTCTTCTACTTGGTACCAGTTCCCATAGGCAATATTGAAGATGTTGAGACTCACTCTCGTCGCTCTAGGGCTCCTTGCAGCTCAGGCCGTAGCACAATGCACCCGCGAAGACCTCATTGCTGCTACTGATAGTCTCCTTGCAGCACAGACTGCGGGAACTCCCGACACGGTAGCTCCTCTGGCCGACACAGTGGTCTACTTGGAAGCATTTAAGACGGCTGATATCAAGACTGGAATACTGTCTCACGCGCTCAATATTGACTTCAACCGTAGTCTCCACGACACCACCCAATGCGCAACTTACACCGAGATCGTTGTCACAGACAAGGCGCACCCGTACGTCATAGGCACGCAACTGCGCTTCGCCGACGGAAAGATCGCCAATATCAGCTCTCTCGTTACTGATCAGGGCGATTGGCTTTTCAACGCTACCGGTACCCTCTACTGGGCATCCCAGGAGAAGTGGGACCCAATCCCGGAGGACCAGCGCGACAGCCGCGAGGTGATCCAGGCCGCAGCCGATGCCTACGCCGACCTCTTCAACGACAAGTCCGTACAAGTCCCTTGGGGACACCCTTGCGCACGTCTTGAGGGTGGTGCTTACACTGGCTCTGGATCCGCCGACGATAGGTGTGATGTCGGTGTTCCCAATGGTAAGTCATATCTATTTAGAACAACGAGGGAATTTGATAGATCACTAACGCTTAATTTGCAGGAGTCAATCTGAGCAACCGTCGTTATGTCATTGACGAGACTCTTGGTGCTGTTGACATCTTCATCGACTTTGCGACTGTTCCAGACAGCCACGAGTTCCGAGTCGAGAAAGGCAAGCTTCGCTACGTCCATACCATAACTGTGATGGGTGGTTAAATAGTGTGAGAGAAAGGTTTCATTCCTGTAGAGAGCCCAGTATTGCAAGTTGATTGAAAAGGAAATGATCGGATACGGATAGCACATGGGAGTATAGGAAATAAAACACCTTTGAACAGTCTTACATGAAGAGATAGGGGTCAATAAGTATTCTACCATACTATGACAGATACCTAAGCAGTAATTCATTTTCTAAAATATGCGTCTTTACTCGACGTATCGAGCGATATAACTATGAATATGCTGGGATGCAGCCATCGTGAAGACCGGTAATACCTAGATTAAAGCATTTAGAAACGTATGGATTTGAATGTACCTTGTATACCTAATTTAATGAAGTTGTTAGTTAATCTATAAAAAGTATTGATAAAATATCAAATATATAAACCTACCTACCTGTTATAATATCTTGCTCTGTCTAAGTAAAGATAAGTAAAAACAATTGTAGCCAACGGAAGAAGCACATGGGAAATGGCGAGTCAGGGGATTCGTCGCATTCACCGCTATCGCCGAGACTTTTCACGATAGTAACAAAAGTTGTGTGGCAAGTGGGTCTTATTCAAGATCCACTCCGTTGGGCCCGTTCTAGGCCCCGACGTAATAATCCATCTCACTTTTTTTTTCCTAATTCATAAAACCCTCACCAGTCGCTCGTTATCTTATGTTCATGTTTTTCCCTTTTTTCATTCGTTAGGACATCCACCCCGGAGACGGACCGCGAGTCTGACCGAGGACTCCAATGAACCCAGCGGGTCATCTGCTGTCTCCTACGAGCAGCCTGCCACCTTTACGTTCGTTGACTGCACTCAATAGGGACCGAATATTCTCGGCTCTAGATAACCTTTATGAGTTGTACTGCCCCGTCTCGTTACCACGGGCAGTTAAGTCGCAGCTCGAACATGGGAAGGCTCATGATGATTTACTAGTCCAACCGATCGACTCCGGCTACGTCTCCGAGGATGATATAGATTCGGAATATGATCTTGACGAGTTACGTGCAGACACCTTCGAGCGTAACTTCGCTATTCGCTGGTTGACTACTTTAATCGCCAGCGCGGAAGAGCTACCCCTGAGTAATGAAGACGAGCGCGAGCAGGCGGTTGATAAAGCTTCCTTTATCCTTGCCTCGTTCACCAAACTCGCGGACGGAGATGACGAAGAGGATTCCGGAATTACACGAGAATTTTCTTTCGAACTATCGTTATTCTCCAATCAGGGTTCTCCTGGGTTGAAGGAGTCTGGTATCCGTGAAAAGGTCTCGATAGACGTGCAACTCAATGATGCACCACAAACCTCCACAGATCACACCGATGTTGGCCTACAGAGCTGGGGTGCATCCATTGTTTTCTCTGACCTGTTATGTTCGTCACCAGACCGGCTCGGACTTAATCAAGAAACCCTCGGCTCGTCTCCGCGTATCATCGAGCTTGGTGCCGGGACGGGACTAGTCAGTCTTGTTCTTGCTAAAGCGCTACCTCACTTCGGTGTATCTGATGCCACCTTGATAGCAACAGACTATCATCCGGCTGTTCTTGAGAATCTACAGTCTAATGTCAAGCTCAGCCGGGTAAGCGTAGAGACATGCTTCCTCAATTGGTCCGCCCCTATCTTGGAAGCACCGCTCGACTTATCAGCAGACGTGCTCGTAGCGACCGACGTGGTATACGCACCTGAGCACGCTGTGTGGCTTCGAGACTGTGCGACCCGTCTGCTCGCACCTAAGGGTGTGTTCTGGCTACTCATGACTATACGCCCGAATGGCCGCTTCGAAACTGTGGTTGACTCTGTCGAAGCCGCCTTCAATGGATCATACTCCCAAACCTCAGACAATCGACATCTCGCAATTCTGAACATGGAGGGTGTTGAAAAGCGCCGTGGCGTTGGACGTGGAGATGAGAGTGGATATAAACTATTTAGAATCGGGTGGGCTTAGACGAATAAACTAGAATTAGAAGGGTGTTAGACTTATATAGCTAGACGTATGGCAGAGTTACAGTATAGAGTATTTCAGGGCAGCATACAAAGGCGTACTAGATACCTGAAGTTGTTTTTAATTTAACTATTATATTAATGCTTTAACTATATGAAGTTAGTATATACATGAAATAAAAATGATACCAGCCCACCTCGGAGTTCGAAACTTATATAACTAAGAGTTGTCAAACATAGAGGTAGGTATGAATAGGGAGTGTGATAGTAGATCATGGTATCTACCTATGTAGTACGGAACGCGCCACAGCTATATTACCCACCATCCTTATAGACTTAGAAATCTCGTTACCTCCAATCAGCTGCTCAATCCTAAGACTAAAGAAAGAAATTATTCTGCTCGCTTGACGGAAAAGGGATTTGGCGTGAAGATCCCATAAGGATCAACTCTCTTTCTAATCTCACGAAGTTTGTCATACTTTACCCTATCTTCATAGTAACAGTTCCACACAGCATCCAAATCCCATTCTCCGTACGAGCCCCAGAGCACACGGCGGTCCTCTTTTGAAAAGATACCGTTGGGGCCGATGGCCTCCTCATCGTTCACCTTTTGCCAGTCTTCAGCTCGCGTTTTAGTTTCATCGCTGTGGAAGCAGTCCATTGTGCACAAGATACTCGTGTCTCGCCAGCTGTACGCCGTACCGTTTCCTGCATTCCGCGTGAACATGGAGTTCTTCCCACCGAAACACTGTAGCTGTGCCGACAACCAGCACCGGTTGTGTTCGGGTCGAATGATAGAATCGATACGGTTGACAACCCAGTCGGCCCAACCGTCTTTAGCAAGCGTGTGCGAACGAGTACTGTAAGTACGCTTGACGTATGGGTGTTCAAACTCGCGCACGTTACGGAAAATCCAGTCACCAGTGAGCTGCGACATGGGCTTCTCCTGAACATTGCTGTTACCAAGAATCCAGTCGGAGCCCTCCTTAATACGATCAAACCATGAATTATCGCACACGTCACCACTCTCGAACGGCACCCACTGCGCAAACACGACAATGGTACGCGGCCACGCAATCAGTCCATTTTTGCCGTAGTACTCTGGGTGCTTCCGTGCCATCCACTCGTCAATTCCTGGGCATAGATCGAGTAGAGGAAATGCCGAGCTAAGCACGCTGATACAAAAGTCGTAGTTGCGAGGAAAGTTTTCATTGTCAGACATCTCAACAAGGATGTCAACTAGACGCTTCAAGGTTTGGGTGTCGTAGAGGTACATTGCCTTCATACCCTTAGAGCCGTTATAGTCTTGGTCGCGGTGCATCTGGATAGTGAAATGAGTCAAGACTCCAAGGTTACCGGGACTGCCACCTAAGAAAGCCCAAAAGAGATCTGGGTCAGTAGATTTGGTGATTTCCTTGAAGTTTCCGTCAGTGTCTACGATCTCGAGAGATAGTATGTGGTCCCCGAATAACCCGAAACTACGTCCCAGTTGACCGTAACCTATTTCCTATTAGTAACTGATGCTTTTAAAAACTGCAACTTCTATATGGACTTTCAACAAGGGGGATATTACCTCCAGTTTGTGCGTGTCCGCCGACATGAACCTCAGTGCATTGCCCATGAGGTACAAACAGCTTATGTTCCGTAACCCAAGCATTGAATTCCCCAAGGCTCCAGCTAACGCTGGTACGAGCATATGCCTTTCCATCTTTCTCGAAGATAGCTCGATCCTCTGGACCCCTAAATGAATGCTCTAGGTCCAGCTGAATATTTGGAGCGCTCGTAGACGAAGCTCCACTATATTGGTGGCCGCCTGTCTTGATGGCTACCGCGATTTTCTTCTCTTTAGCATACTTGAGGGTTAGTACAATATCCTCCTTCGTCTTAGGTTGGACAATTAATCCTGGGTTGAGGTCGCGTTCCTTGCCATAAGTTGATGTCGCGTACTGATACTTTACTTCATCGTATTCCTTTGCTCCTGGTATATATTGGTTACCACTGATACCTGTGATGGTTGCCATTGTTCTTGGGATGAATTTATGGATATTGATTTTGCACTTCATACGATGCTGACTATCTGAGGGATATATGCCTCAGTACTTATAGCCTTACACGTCTCTATGATACTCCGATTGTCACGAGGTGGAACTAAACAGCATGGAAACAAATTCGTTGTTCCGCAAGGAACTCTAACAACCTACCGATGGGGTTCACCCGGTGTGCTCAAGAGCTTATCATGTGCCTGACTCAGCTGTCAGCTCACGTCGTACGCATTCGACAATTCTTCACACCTTTAGCACGAGATGTATGATGCGGATATATCTTATTTGGTGGTATGCGAAGTCTTACGTTAGCACAACAAAGGACGCCAGTTACGGGAAGAAACCAGCCTACCACGTATTGTAAGACACTCTTAAAATACTAACCTAATGTATTATCTAGCAGTATTTATTAGTAATTGTAATAGGCAATCATTATTACCTTGTAGCCCAGCCTCACATTACGGTAGGTATTTTACGTAAGAATGACAATGCAGCAACTATTATAATACCTTTAGTTTTTTCGAGCTGAAAGCTAAGGTAGTTCTCTACTTTGAACTGGCGGAAATGAACGAAGAAAATCAATCAATCGATGAGTACCTATTATATATTGTCACATGAACCTTAGGTAGGTGGTTATCATTGCTTTTGCTGATTCAGTGGCGCCGGGGCGAAGACATGTTTTAGATAATAGATAGTCGACCATGTTTCACTTGGTTCGAGTTGGGGGTGAAAGTGGTAGAGTGGATGCAAAGCTGCAAGCCAAAGACCTGCAGATGGAGTGAGATATTTCGGTGTTTTGTTGCCAAGGTCGGTGACCATTACCCTCACCCGGACTGTCAGAAAGCAAACTCTCAGGGTAATCTGTCAGCAAACATGTCGCTATTACCCCGAGATTTGATGATACCACGACCATCTAGAAGTGTGGCTTAATCTAAATTTTTAGCCCCCTACCTAGGTAGCTATTCGTCGTGACTGCTTCTCGTTAGTTTATACATGACTTTATTATGACAGATGGTCTTTAGAATTAGGGGTAATGTGACATTATCAGATTCTGAGAACAGGTAACTTTCATCCTGCTGAAAGACAATTATATTGCCACCAAGATATTTAATTACATCACATGTACCTATTATGATGTAGAGGCGTCCCGCTTGTAAAGCTCACTTCTATTTTATATCTACTGATTACCTAAGACATAGTGCTTATAGATATCTATTAGATAGTAGAGTAAGATCAGTAAACCACTACACAATTACCAATATACGATGGAACACATCACTATTCTAATATGATACCTGGTAAGCTTCTCGAATCAGTTGTGGCCAGTCAATCCCAGCATATTCGCTAGGAAAGCGGTATTCCTTCTCAACAGACCTAGTATTCCCCTGAAAATTGAACCAACTATCCCATCTGATTCCAAGAGTCCCATAAACCTCCCAAACCGATGGCCCTCCTGAGCCCATCATCACGTACGAACTTTCAGGCCACACATAGCAACCACTGCCGCCGGAAAAGTTTATACGTTCCATATTTTGCCATGATTCTGATATATACCCACTATCTCCATTATCATCGGTAGTCGTAGAGCCTGCTACGTCTGTATCAAACTTACTAGAATCTTGAGATGAATCATGACTGAAATCTAAGTCCGACGGGCAGGAAGCTCCGTCCAGATCGAAATATAGTGCAATGATTTCGTCGACTTCGAGCTCAGCTCCTTCATATTGCGCCATGCTCTATAGTTTCTTAAATTTCAGTCTTCAACCGGAGACCTAAGTTTGACAATAGAAATAGAAATTGCTGCTGAGGGGGTTGTCAAGAACAAGAAACTATTTTTAATTCCTGCCCTCTCTGGTCATATTCCCAAGTGTCGGAGAACATGAAGCTATAAACGGATACCGTGACTATTTTGTATCATATAAGTATATCTTGTTAGTATATACGGGCGTATGTTTGACTCGAGTTCATTGTAAAATTTACTGAAAGAGAGAAAGGTATTATAGCATACAAAGATAGCTATAAGGAAGACTACGTTTTAAATATGAACAATAGTTAATTGTTAAGGACAATGCATTTAATGTAAAGAGACCTATAAAAAGCACATTGTTATTTTAGGTACGTAAACACTTAGATACTTTCGTGAATTTTGATCCTCGGGTAGAATTTATCGAGTGTATACGACTATTATGAATAAGATGATCACCACAGACCATGAGTAGTTCACGCAAGTTTGTTGATCGCCTCCCCGGGTCTACTTTTAGAAAGAAATCGTAGCAACGTTATTAAAAGTTTGAAATACCAAGTTAGCAAAAACATTTCTGGCGCTTCTAATAGATTTTAAAATTAAGACAGCCTCTAAGTGCCTCTAAAACAATGCATTATATACAGGTATACTACTTCTTTAATAGGTTCTTTATTGGATAGTTCCAATCCATTAAAAAGATACTAAGAAAATACCTACCTAGGTAATGCCTTTATATAGGTAACTTAGGTACCTAAGGTATAGCAACCTCTTATCCACCGTGTTCAAGTAAAAGGGGGAAAGGGGGCTTAGTCAGCTCCCTAGTCACATGTAATGGAATTCATCCGGGCACTTATGTACCTAGGTCCTAGGTAAAGTTCTAGGCAGCACAATAAGGTACCCAAGGTTAAGGCACAGCAACACACCCTAAAGAAAGTACTTTATGGGAAGGTGCTTGCCTAATAGTCTTACCTTAGGTATTAATCTTTAATATTTTAGCATCTGAGTTACTTGATTAGTGTAAAACTTAGGTCATATTAGTTCTAGTTATTTCGAAGCCGAACCCAAGCGAAAACACATAAACACATAAACTCGCAATGACCGACCTGAAGCCGATTCAAGCCGAAACACACCGCCCCTTTGTGCTAATCGTCTGTCACTCCTTAACGGGACACCTCTCTCCCCTAATCCGCATAGCTACAGCCCTTCATGCATTAGGCTGGGAGACCTTCTTCTTAGGACCGACCGCGCACCGTCGAGGTATAGAAGCGACCGGCGCCGTTTTTTTGCCTTTACGAGAAGATGCCGACCTCGACGATAAGGCGTATTATGAAAACCCACCTTTTCCTGAATACGCAGCACTGCACTGGGCTGACCGCGTGCTGGTTGATCTGCGCAAGCAGTGTCTTGACCCTCTTCCTACGCAATGGTCCTGCTTCGTAGACGCCTTGAGAGTATTGCAGACTCGTGATCCGGAGCGCAAGATTATCTTATTAGCCGAGGCGTTCTTCTATGGTACTTTACCGCTGTTCTATGGCGCATCACTTCCCCATGATTTGAAATTGGAAGAAATTCTGTTGGGATCATTGTGCGTATCGGTGACTATACCTGCGATCCGTAGTGTCGACTTACCGCCTGCTGGGTATCCCTTCCCCTTTGACTCGTCACCAGACGGCCGCGTGCGTAACGCAAATCTTTGGGAAAGAAGTTGGGAGCGCAAAACCAGCTACCTAGCCGCACTCTTAGTCACTAAGATGCGCGAGGCGGGTGCTGATCGCTGCGTCGATGAAATATTCCTCTCAGGCGCAAATTATCTGTGCCATGATACTATCCTACAGCTTGGCGTTCCTGGGTTTGAATATCCACGCAGCGATTGGCCTCCTGGCTTCAAGTTTGCAGGGCTAGTACAAGGCCCGCCACCGAGTTGCAAATCCGGAGAACAGCCATCCTCTCCTTCTCCTGCTCCTGCTCGTAATATAAAACCCCTAACTTCCCTTGGTGGTCTGAACTCACATTTAATACCGCCCTTTCTACCCTTCTACCCTCAGATCCGCGTCGCGCCGCAAAAAAGAAGGTTATCGTCGTCGCGCAAGGTACCGTAGAGATAAACCCCTACGATTTGATCGTACCTACACTGCGTGCCTTCGCTAACCGGTCGGACGTGCTGGTTGTTGCCATTCTCGGGTGGAAGGATGCCAACCTATCTAGCTACGGTGTCGATATTGAGATTCCGGTTAACGCTCGTATTGCTAACTACCTTTCGTACGATGCGGCACTAGCCCACGCTAACGTATGGATACATAACGCGGGATTCGGCGCTGTGAACCATGGTATTGCGAACGGGGTCCCCATGGTAGTCGCGGGCGAAGGAATGGATAAAACGGAAAACTCGCGACGAGTAGCCTGGTCCGGGATCGGAATCGACCTTGGTTGCGCGAAACCATCAGTTGAGCAGGTTAGAGGGGGCGTTGAACGCGTGCTAGAAGATGAACGGTTTACAGAACGTGTGCGGGAGCTACGGAAACAAAGCCAGGAGATAAACTGCTTCGATATGGTTCACAGTGAACTAGTTAGGATAATGAAAACACGGCCTGGCATTAAGCAACGGGGTCTAGAATCTTAATGAAAAGGGTTCGCATTTACTACCTGCTGCCAAATTTTGGCCCGTATTCACACGCAGAATGGTATCAGATTAATCAAGTTGCTTCCTGTAACACTTCCATCGACGATTAACTTCCTAACATCCTCCTATTTAGAGAATGCAGTCCATGGAGAGCCATCTCAATCCCCCTTCCAGTGTTTCTACATATTCGTATAATCAGCTTTTTTTTTTTGTTTGCATTAAGTTATACTTAATAACGCCGTGCCGAAGGGACATGCTTCGTGCCAGTATATGGTTAACAAGATAACCAACTTATCAAAACGTGTGCTCCTAAATATAGGCAATAATCTATTGAGAAAGGGTTGATAATTCCGGGTCGATAAGGTAACAAACGAGGCGTAGAATTTATCGAGTCGTATCCTGAGTCTCGGGATAGTAACATCCGCCGGCTAGCACGAGGTTCATACGGGTGAACTGAACCTTCATGACAGGTGTTTTCTTCGTCGGAAACGCGCTAATCTGGTCTGGTGTTATCATGACGTCCTTGCCCTTCCTCTTACCCGTACCGCCAGCTGCACCGCTGGCAGGTTGCGTTGTCTGCCCGCTTTGTTTGTTATCGCCTTGTCCACCTACCGCAACAATTGTGCTATCCCCGTCCTGTTGGTTTGCGGGACGACTGCCTTCGGCCGGCATCTCAACATCCCAAACGCGCACCGTATTATCCTGTCCACCGGATATGAGCACGTTACTCTCAACACTAAAACTGAGTGACCAAATTCCACCACGTCCATGGCCACGGCAACGCTTAATACGGGTAGCCTTATCTATATCCCATAGAAAGATGTTACCACCGATATCAGCTGACGCGAGGATCTTGCCGTTAGGGGCACACTCCATTGCAGATATGTATTCAGTATGGCCAGTAAATATACGAACGCAGTTGCCACTGACCACAGACCACATGCGGATCGATTTGTCTGTCTCGTCAGAAGCTGAGAATACATACGTGCCATTAGGATGCCATGCCACGGCCGAAATGGCGGTGTCGTGGCCGACAAGGAGACGTTGTGCCGATGCGTGGTCTTGCGACCAAACTCTGACGGTTTTATCCCACCCGCCAGTCACGAAGTAGTGACCATGTGGACTCCACGAGAGAGAGAAGACCGGGCCATCATGACCCCTGTATATGCAAAGGCAGGTCCAAACCTCAAGAGACCACAATCGTACTTGGCCATCGGCCGAAGAGGAAAGAAGAAGCTTGGTATCTGTCTCCGGCTGAGGCGAGCCTTCGTAAATATTACGATCTAAGTTGGCTACAGCATCCGAAAAAGCCACGGAATAGACGGGAGCAGAATGGCCGATCAACTTGCGGTTGTTAACTTTCATGTCCTTCTCGGGCCCCAGACGAGACTTCAAAGCTTTGCCGTCAAGAGACCATACGCGAATGTATGATTCTGTAGTTCCTACCGCCACAAGTTCTTGGTCTTTCGAGAAGTCCATGCACGAGATGCTAGATGACGTTAACGCGGAATTCTAAGCTAGCAAGCTAAAGTAATTCTTACCTCCCGAGATGATTGTGGAATGTAAACATGCAAACTGAAACACCAGGGCCTACACCACCGGTACGACCTTCAATTCTGAACCGATCTCGATTTTCTCGAACTTTCTGCATTTCCATGACGACGTCTCTTGCTCTTGATGGAGGGTATGGAATATCTGTTCGCTGTGGAGAATCGCCTGATTCTCTCTTGATAGGATGCATGGCATTGAATTCTTCTACTAATGTAGGTAATCCTTCTCGAGGTGGACGAAGTCTATCCTCTTCTTCCAGCTCAGCAACAACATCGCCCCGAAGATCGGGATCTATCGGGAGTGGTCCAAGCTTCAGGGCGGCGGTATTATCGAGGATGTTGCGGTTGGAAAGGCCACTACGGCTGGAGACACCTGGGATACCCTCTTGGATGTCGACTTCATCAAGTTCTTGATGACGAGCACGGCGGTAAATAGCTTCGAAGCTAAACGGCTCGATAGGACCCCGATCCACAGAATCAACACGACAGTGTTGCTGTATAATATCAAGAACTATGGCTCCGCACTGTTCCAACTCTCGTTCTAAAAAGTGGAATAGATGTCCCGTTAGAGACTTGCTAATCGGAATGACGTACTGGTTCTCTAGATACGCCTTGGCGAACGCGTTCTCCCGGACGTGTACGGAGAGGGTTATGGTAGACAGACTCTTCAACTCGTCATGATGCGTTTTTTGAAACCGGCTCCGGATTTGTTCCATAAGTTCCTGTGCATGAGTATAGGAAGCCTGGCTAACCAAGCGGAGGTAGGAATAAATGAAGAGAGGCCAAAGAATCTTCCCCAGCTCAAACTATCCACGGGTAAGATGACCGTCATCTAGTATTTAGCTAGGAATAATACATACCTTGTAAAGATCGACTCCGTTATCAATCCATCGTGCAAAATGTTTGAACGCCCTCAGATACTTTCCTGCGGGGAGGAACTTGTTTGGGGCCACTGCATCATTATGATCTCGAGGTTTCCCGTTCTCGTTAATATCCTTCACCTCCTGGCGGAATATTTCTTCTGTACGGTTATACCCTTTCTTAATGAGGTAATCGGTAACCTAAACGACGTAATTAGCCTTGTTTAATACTAAATAAAGTACAAGTAAGGTGAAAGGGAAAAGGCAATGCAAAACCAAGCATACTAGTTCATGGAAGGGTCTTTGTGGAGGTTTTGGTGTATTAGAATTCTGGAAACTAGTTTGACTCATGGGGATATGCTCGCCGGAAGCTCTAGGCCTCTTTAGAACCTCATTCTGGAATGGAAGTTGAGGAGCAGGACGTTTAGACATGATGATGAGTTATGAATGTAGATAGAAAATGGTCTGAATGATGATACGGATTTAATAGACCGGTATGCTTGCGCGCGTGTTTTAATCTTAGGCTGGCACAAGATAAATAGATATCGAGTGTTAATTTGGTAATTACCGATTAATGAAGAATATAAGAGATTGGAAAATGGGTGTTTGTAGTGATGGAACAGCTTGCTTCCAGAAGATGGTGACGAAGATGGCGTACGAAATTTGAAGATGATGACATTCAGGAGTGAAAGTTTGTTGTAAGAATAAAAATAACTAGGAGGTAGGTACGTAATTAAAAAGATAAGTTACGGCTTACGATTTGGTTAAGATTCTGATTGCTACTCCCAGTTGCTGTGGAAGCTGAGGATGTGGTGGGGTTGCTAACAACACCTGGAGTTGTAGTTGACGGCTGCGGTTGGGGGGTGAAGTTATTGCTAGATGCACCTCCAGTTCCAGCACTTTGTGGTGCTGGATTAGACATGGCGAAAGTTATACAGGATTCGCGTATTTTAATCGACTATGGGAATATTGATTCCTAGCAACAATAAGCTTATCATCAATACTACATCAGCATTATAGTAATTCCTATAGAAGCTGAATGAGAACCTAAAGATAGCATAAGTAGCGTTAGCATATTTGATGAGACGCGATGGGAAGTTTAGAAGTTTAGAGTTGAGGCTCAAAACTGAAAAGGACAGGCTGATGCAGGTACGTACACAAAATAAGGTTGAAGGCCCCACTAAGGTACGAAGTATTCCCGTGATTTATGATGATGATGCACATGCCAAAAAGTGGTCTGTGAGTACATAAAGCTCAATTAATTGAAGCTTAGATATTTTCTATGTACATAGG